GCCTTCAAAGTCGTCTAGGCAGCCTTTGGAACATGTTGGCAATTCGGGGCATCTCGCCACCGCGTGTCAATCTGTTCCGCCAATCATTCCCGAGAGAACTTCTCATAGGTAACATAGCTGGCTATCTCGTCATCTTCCACCACACCGTCTCCTATTGAGCCATCCGCCACAGTCATCAGCGCTGCTACCACTCGCGTTATGACCGTGACTCCCTCGCACTCCAGCCCGTTGCTTGAGGCCCAGTCGTCATTGTAGCCATGGCCCAACCGACAGACGCTTATGGGAAATCTGCATAAGTCGCATTGTTCCCTTGCACCACCATCAGCTCCAGCCAGCCCTTCCCACTCAGTCAACAGAGTATTTGCAAGTCTCAATTCCTTCCGTAGGGTACACGTCGTCATGTCATGCAGGTAGCAGGCCTCGCTCCATTCGTACATCATGCATACATGGCACCGGATGCTGCCTCTGTGCCACAACTGAGCACGCGCGCGAAGGAGCCGCAAGAAAGACGACTCACCAGAGTATCCATAAGACCGCATGGACTGATACTCGGCTTCCTTGAGCGCGTCCCGTGCTCTGTCACGCCACGTTGACATGATTGTTTGGTCATCTCTATGCAAAATCTCTCGCCCTGGTTCTCCTCTTTTGGCCCAACAAAACTCTGAGCCCGGAAGTCCCAAAAAGATTCGACGGTGCCGGATTGTGAACATAGAGCAGCCGTTTTGCAAAGTGTATCACAACAGCAAGTTCAGTGGTTGGAGCATTTATCCTATGCCTGTACTTCTGCAGCGACACAGAACCAGCTTGGACGTGAGGCTACAGAAGTATTTCGGCAGTCTCTTGAATAAGGACTTGCCTAAGATATGTCGTGGTTGGGCCCTAACATAACCGTGTTAAGCTTGTGTAGCACCTTTCACGCGGGCTCCTTCCGTCATTATCGTTGAACGTCACAGCGGAACACAGATGAAACGAGCCCCAGCCCAAACGTTGATGAACCATGTTGTGACAGTTGTAGCGCCATAACCCATGGAGGCACTCTGAGCGGTACTAAAGAAAGGACCAGTCAGTCCGACTGTATGCCGGAAGAAAGTGTGGTATAGGACGGCGAGCGGTTTTTAGTGCCGACATGATCCCATTTGAAGTTGAGGATTCGCAAGACATGGAAGACAGATGTGGCCGATTTATATGGCACCGGAAGGCTGCGGCACGCAGCGATTTCTTCTCTTCCCTCGCTGCATGTCTTGTAGCTGCAAACAAAATGGAATAAGCGGTGAAAGATAGACTGTGTGATATGGACCACACGCCCTTGTGGATGGTCGCAAAGCCAGGTGAGAGTGGTAGGTCACTGGTGACTAGGAGTTAGGCAGGCTCATGATCTGGAGAAATCGATCGAGGCTCTTTTCAGCATGATACGCGGACGCCCGTGGCAGAGAGTAGCAATAAACGAGCGGTCAGATTGTGTTTTGAGACATCGTCGAGCTGCGATGGTAGCATAACCTGGGGAAAACGCCAAGGCCGGCCGCGAATATGCACACCTCTAGGAGTGAAGATGCTTTGGAGCGGAGCACAGACTTGAAAGAGCATAAACCTAAGTTGGATCGGCTTTGGTCCGATTTATCTTTGGCGAAAAGCACAGTTCTTCAGCAATCAACTCGGTGGTCTGGAGGTTTGGTGTGCATTTTGGGGGGGGATTTTTAGGGTGCTTTGAAAGATGGAGAGATCTGTTTGTCACCTGTTTTGCTCCACAGCACGATACATCACCATCCGTCTGGCCGACTATTGATTGATACATTAGTTTACACAACCTCACAATTGTCATTCGTGATCTCGTTCACTTTGTGACACATAGGAACAATAACGATATCATGTTTTTACTTTGACCCCCTCATTAAGCATCTAAGACTTGCAACCAGCATTGTTAACAATTGAGAGCTGCCAGATCTGCCTGCCGATCTGCCAAAGGGCTACCGAACCTTTGCCGGCGAAAGAATTGGATCAGTCTGCGCATATGTTTTGCCAATTCCGCGCCTGCCCGTAGAAAGAAACTGAAAGACCAAAAAGGTCGGGCTCGACAGTGTTGCTGATTCGTGGTTTGAGTCTTTTGATGCTCCAACGACTGCTCGGTAACAGCAATATCTCTTGGTCCGAGCGGTCTCATTCTACCACTTTTGAGCCCCGTGCTCCTTATTTTTCCATGGAAAGGCCTGACTTGCTGGCTCAAGTCGCCTGAATGGGTTTGTTGGCCAACCGTGCGGCAACAACGAAGTTCAGCATTCGCTGCTCTCCGTTCTTCTCGAAGATGCAGTCTTGCTGTCCTTTCTTCAGTTTCAAGTCGCATTCTTTCGACCTTTTGCTGTGTTTTGAGGGCTTTCAAACTTCTAACCTCCTCACCATGGAGCTCCTGTCGCTTTTTGGCCTTCTTGGGCAGCCCATTCCTTGCATTTCGAAAGTCACTTTGGAGCCTGGCGACCTCGTTCACGTTCTTCCTGTGTAGACGCTCTCGTTTTTCCGTCACCTCGTTGTTGAGATTTAATTGTTTTTGTTGCAGCTCATGAAGCTTCATATCGCCCGTGGATGCGTTGTTCTGCGCGAATTGTTTTTGGAGTAGTGGTCGCGCTGTCAAGCTCTCAGTTGACTTATCAATGTACTTGGCTCCATCATTTAAATACAGTTGGGCACGTTTGACCGGACGCCATTTCACAGTTATTTTGAGATGACCGAAGGTAGTGATCCACCTCGAAACGTCGTCACGAGGCCAGAATTCATATCGAAACTCAGCAGCCGCCGAAATAGCTGGATGTACAACGTCGATTCTTGCAACAGCATGGCTGCCGACTCTTCCAGTAATTATAGGTTCTTCGATAATTTGGAAGCTTGTCGCCCCTGAGGGATGAAACCGAACTGGAGGGGGATTCGACAACACAGTAACCATTTTACCATAGCTGATGCACCACGCAAAGATGGCAGAAGCTCCATGAATATACCTCGTGGATCGACTTCTAAGTTTGGTTCCACTTGCGCTAACTTCATTGTGACTCATCAACGGTCCCATCGCTGTCGTCAAGGTTTGCATATTGTGCTTATCAGCCCAGCGCTGTGCAGCTTCTCGGGTCATTCCGGTCCACAGGACTTGACGATCAGTGATTAAGGCCGTGAGAACTGATGTCGGATCTCGTCGATCTCTTCCAGGGTCAAATGCCGTCTCACAAATGCATCCAAAACGGGCGGCAGCGCATCATCCATGGTTTCAAAGCTAACATATCAAGAGTAAATGTGTTTAGGACTCTCATAACTTCCTTGTAAAATACAGTAGCACAAAAGTAAAGAGCACAGGGTTCGAGGCAGTTGAGAGCTCATGTGGGGTGCATTCGTGACATTTATGCAAGGACGCGCGGGGATCCAGACATCAGCGGCGCGTGGTGGTGGCGCTTGAGTGTGTTGTTAACCCTTTCCTAGGAATGTGAACGATGCGCCAAGCCCGCGCCAGCGGGCCCAACTTCACCGTCGCTGTGTGGCTTAACCCTATCTCCTTGACTGCGAAGTTATTACCTTTTTTGCAGCCCCGCTTTTGACATTCAGGTACATTCTCAGGGTGTGGCTGTCATCATGTAGGTAACAGATTCGTTATGTACCATTTTGTACTTGTTAGTGTTCTAGCCATCTGATTGGTTTGCTTAAAACGCAATAATTTCGCAGTCAAGGAGATAAATCACGAAAATAGACATTCCATCCATCTTTTACAATTACATCCGATGACGAACTCCTGAAACTGCCATTTGTGTTGTATAATCGAGGATTTTGTTCTCAAAAATCCGTATTTTTTTGGTGCTCACTACATAGTTTAGTAATGCACAGCCAACGGTTCGAATTAGATCCTCAGTGCGACACAATACTTGTTTTGCGATGCCCAAACACACAGGGCCACGTGTGGGACTCACCTCCAAACAAAGAAACCCGAAGCGAAAGAAGAAGACTCCTTGTGAACCACTACCCAAGCCTGCCGAAGCTACAATTGAATTGTATGTGCCGAATGTGGCCCAGACTGAGACGGAGCCTGCTGCGGACAACGCTGAGAGTCATCCGACTCCGACTCTAATACCTCTGTCACTAGCATCCCCTATCGTTGAAGTTGTCTATACGGGCCACAGCCCACTGGCACTGCCGAATGCGTGACTTGCACAACAGCTCCCTGGGTGGTGGCTGTCGCCGCTCGTGTATGGTGCCATGGTGAAGTACACAATCGAGACCCAGGATCCCATATTCTGGAATTCGTGTGAGATTGTTTACGTCCCGGGTGATTACAGAAAACTGCTTCACGAATAGCACAACGGCCACTTTCCCAACTCAAGCCAGTCAGTTGCCAATTTGGTCGGACCGAGGTCGTCCTATTTCATGTATCCCACCATTACCGAAACCGTGACTTGCACTTCCCATCGCCCCTCCTATCAGGTCCGTGAAGCTGCCTGTACAATGGCTGCGACACAGTCTCTGAATCGTACATCTGAAGCGTGCATGTTAACCAAAGCCGAGATCCGAGATTTTGAAATTGGGAGAGAAATTGCCATTAGTTACGTGAAAGTGGTTCATAGTGCCATGAGGCTATGTTCTACTGTCGTGATTGTTTTGCAAAACTCACAGCTCAGCAAAATACTGCACTCGGGTCCTCGCCGCCAGACCTTTCTTTTCCTCTATAAACACCTGTCTCCGTGATCCCCTTCTCGTCGTGAAGTTTACAATGCTTTCGAAATGTATGTATTTTTTTGAGAACTTTATCGCAGACTGGGCAAGGAAGTTTTTGTAAGTGCCTGTCACATTCGTTAGTTCCGAGATTCCCTTGATTGCAAACATATCAACATACTCGTCGAAATGGCTAACGACCGCATCCCGGTAGAGGAAGGGTTTGAGCATAGTTTTAGGGTCTTGGGATGAATAAAAGCGCAGCGATATAGCATGCCATCCCAATAGTACTAATGTTAGCTTAGTTCCGTCGTCGCCTTTACTTACACAGAAGCCTGATTAGGCGGTAGCCGATTTGGATCTGTAGTCCCGGGCGCGTACGATGCCGGGCTGGTCGAAGAGTTGTAGACCGTAGCCGGGTTGATATCGGGTGGGAGACTATACGAAAGTAGAGAGTTGCTGTCGGCTCCATGTAGATGGTTTGGTGGGCTTCCCACCAATACATCAGACGCAATGGGTTCGTCGAAACGGCCTCCGTCGGTTCCGCTATCCTGTTCAAAGCCGTTATGCATCTGCTGAGGGACGCAGGTCCGCTGACTATGGTGCAGGCCGCCGTATTGAATGCCCATAGAGGGTGTCGAAGGCTGGAATGGGATATGGGCTGGCTGAGAGGCTCCGGACGCCCAGTCTCGGATCAGTCCGGAGTACATGCTCTGGACATGAAGACCTTCATGGTGGATTGGTTCACCTTGGCAGGTGTCCATAGGCACAAATCCGGTGTTCGCATCCACGGTGGAGAGACCATGCTCCTGGGGCAATATCTGGAGGGGCGATGTTAGACCAGAGCAGCTATGGTGTGCATAGGATATCTCACAGCTTGTTTATTCATCTCGTGTAAACTTGGGCCGCTAATCCGAGAGGGTGTTGTGGTGATGACTTCAGCAACACTCAAACAAGGGCAGCCATCGACATATATCCTGCCAGGCTACAACTTCTGCGGGCGGCGCCATGCACGAGGCACAACCAACAGAGCACCTGGAGAGCACCTGGGCCAGACATGGGACTGATGGATGCAATAGAAAAAAGGATACCGCTGTACCGCATCATATCGCCCGTCTTGCTGCCGTCCGGGATGGGGCGGATTGTTGAACCAGAGTATCGGGACAATGCTCTGTTGGTGTGACTGTAGAAGTTCTGTTCGCCGTGGTGCGTGGACGTGGATTAAACCGTCGAAGCCTTTCTCATCCCAAGGCGTTGCAGATCAAGCATTCTGGCGGAAGGCGGCGGTACATCACTCCAGAGCAAACGTCGGAGTTGCACTGGCCGCGGCTTGCCAATGTCTGCCTGCCCATGCTGCTTCGTCTTTGAGTGGCTCGCTCGCCGGAAGTGTGTTTCGTACAGATAGACGTCGACATTCCAAAGCACAAAGTCTATCTAACAGCTGGTAGACAAACACTAGGCATGTCGACAGAGAGATGTTGGAACAAGGATGACCTAATGGCCCCGATCCGCGAGCTAGGATAATCATTTGGCTCGAATCCGGCATAGCGTAACGGTCTACATCACTCGGCGACAAAGACAGTTTTGGGTTCGTCAGCTTGGCACTATGGACTTGTTCTCAGTGCCGCCTGCAGCACGCTGGTCATACTTACTTACACACTGGCCGACGAGACGTCGAGACGATGGCTCGGTCTCTTCTTACACACTCGAGGCGCAAGGAAGCCTCAACGGAACGTCCCTGGTCTAGTTGTCTAACTCGTCCATTTTGCTGGGCGAAGTGCGCCTTATGGAGGGGCATCACAGCTCCGAGTTCACACCCAACAGAGAGGGCTCACGATGGACACCATGTCTCCAGCCTTGTCTTGCACAGACGTAGGAGGCGTACGGCGCTAATGCTAATGCTAGCCCTGTTAAAAGCGGGGGAGAAAACGAGGCTATGCAGAGAGTCCAAGCAAGAACTTCCTGACAGGCAGCCGTAGCGATACGGTATCGCCTCGCTTTCCTGTTTGCTGCATGTATTGAAGATTTTCTTTTGATGCATGAATTGCTATTTGTAAGCGCGACTAGCTCAGCTGCTGGCTCAGGCTTTTGCATTGCCATGCGCCGTGCATGCAAATGCTACCTTGCTTGAGACCGCCGCCGTGACAGCCGACGCTGAACAAGGACGTCTGACGGGGCCTTTGAAGGGTCTCTCCCACCTGCTCCCACCACTCAGTCACCAGTCAATAGTCACTCAGTTCAGGCTGCTTCACCTAGTCCTGCAGCCCTCCGCTAAACGAGCCATTCACAGTCTTGCTCGTACCATCATTTCGTGCATTGTAGCATTCGGTGTGGAAGGGCCACTCCGGCCAGCGGTTGGTCATATGTCATATGATGGATGGCCTGGGGATGGGTTGTCAAGCGCGGCTACCGGCAACATGGACTGGGGGCGCGTGGGGCATCAAAGACGGTAGCCATTCCGCAAGGTTCCGGCCGGAAGAAGACTGCATTGTTGGCTCGCCCCGCGGGGCTCAACCTTGACTATTCGGTGCCAGATTGCGATTCGCCAGGAACTAGGCAGCCATGACTGACCAAGTCGGGCGACTCGCAATTCCGTCTGGGGATGTTGGGGATGTCGTTATCGCAAGCTAGATTGCGGAGCCGAAGCCTGGAGCCCGGAGGACACAGCACGGAAACGGCTGTGACTGGATCTTGTCAGAGAACAGGTGGCAAGTAGCAACGTGCCAAAAACCTACCTAATACGGCCTACCAACCATCAATTTATTAGATTTGCTTGCTGCAGATGAAGAGAGGAAATAACGAGCGATAGTAGCCGACTTGCTTCGTCGTCCAACACAAGTAAAGCTGCCCCTGTCAGAGGGGAACATGGTACGAGACGTTATGGAGCCGGCCTGGTCATGAAGGTGATTGTCCGTGCTTTGGCAGGGACAGCCCTGATGTTGCCTGGCCTGATCTTTTCCAGGGAACCGCACAGGACATCTCCACTACCTAGTGCTGGCTTCTTCCACCGTAGAGCATGCGACCGTGCTTTACTCCATTTTGCGTCCACTGTAATTCAGGGCAGGGGGGGCGTAGGCGAGGGTTCGGAAAAGGATGCAGAAAATTCGATCGTCTGGCTACACTCGTGGGTCCGTGTCGTCTTGGCGGTCAGCTTGGACTTTTACCGATCAAACGTCTAACCTGTCAAACCACCTTTTGGCCGCCTCTCAGTAGACGCCAACCCTGGCGTTCTTGAGCTTT